TATACTAGCATTCAAGTATTGTAGAGACGAAAACCATTCATCTTTTTTTGACTTCTCCTCCTGAGTCTTTCGAGATAAACACATTTTACGCATTGTCGATGAAAGTTTTGGCAATAGCTCATCATATGTTTCAGGCTGGCTATATTCTGTGGACAACTTTTCATTTACTGGTACCTGTTTTTTTTACTGGTGGATCATAGCATCTATTTTGTTCATCATCATCATAACCATCTCATTCATTATCAGAATCTAGAGACGTGTTTTGGCAATTTATAGGTGTGAGAGGCTTAAAATAACCCCGATTAAAATTAGAACGTGCTGTCTTTCTTTTGGGACAACTGCCTTTACTATGACCTGTTTCTCCACAAATATCGCATTTACGTATATTTAGTTTCTGGAATTGATTTGTTAGTTGATTTACAGCATCACGAGTTTCATTTATCCCTCCTCTACTCTATCAAATCTAGCAGAATTATTGTTTCGCTGTGAATGAGATCTTTGAAAAGGCTTTACAGAATAATCTGAGTCTAAATCTTCCTTATTAAGTAGACCTACTTCTTTTAAGTATTCGGCTACATAATAATTCTTGAGACCTTCCTCTGTTTTCAATGTAGATGGTGGACCTTTCGGCTGTCTAATCGGTTCAACAGGTTCAACAGTTTGAAGAGTAGGTATTTGTGTTTGCTAAGTCATTTGAGATTCTAATTCAGTAATTTTCTTTATTAATGTCTGGTTTTCAGTTTTTTGCTGTGCCTGTGCATCTTGAAATATTTTTTGTATATCTGCTAAGGAAATCCCTTGCTGTTGAGGTACGTTATTGGAAATAGCAGGAGGGGCTGGTGTATAATTAAGATATGATGGCAGTGGCCCTAATACTCCACGACGTAATTCAAGTTCTGCTAAACTGTCAAGAATATCATTAATAGCCCTGTGCTGACCAATCCTATAAATTTCCTCCTTTATATCATCTCTTACTTCAGACATAAATTGTGTTTTCTTTTGCGCTGGAGTATAACCCAATTGATCTCCATACTTTAGTATTTTTGCCCAATAAGAGGATACACTTTCATGCGCTCCTTGTTTTAATGCCCTGATTTCAAACATTCTCAAATATCTATCAGTAGATTGAAAATGGTTTTTAATATGATCCAACCTTTGTCCAGACCGGATTTCTGCAAGAATAATAGGAATACCTCCTCCAGTATTTGGTGCAACTGCTACTGCATTGGTTGGTCGTCCTCCAGCTATTTTCCAATTTTCATCAAGTTCTCGAGCTGGAATAATATCTGCACCTGCAAGACCTAAAGGAACATTTGGAAAAGATGCGACAGCCCCCGTTATAGCCCCTACATTAGCACCACGAATATGAGCTATAGTGGCACCTATACCAGAGTTATCAAGTACGTTTTGTAACTCCCAGTTTTTATTATCAAACTCTTTTTTATACCATTCTCGCACTTCTCCTTTTACAGATCGTTCCAGTATATTGCGAATTCTTACTTCATCATTTAGACCTGCTAAATAGATATACGCTATAAAATCATCTCTATACTTTTCATGATCCTGTTCAAAACTGCTTAATTCAGGCATTATAAACCCCGCAGGTAAAGCCATGTTTATTTGATTTGGTGGATTATTCTGTAACGCCAAAATTTGTCCCTGCAAAATTAAAATATTCTGCTGAGCATCATGGGTCTTATTTTTTCATTTCTCATATCGCTCATAGAGCCTATCTCGATTATACTCTAATAAACCTATATCCCCTCTACTTCGCTGTAAGTGATGAGCATTTCGCTGATATAGTAGTTATAAGGCAAACTTTTTTCGTACCAGTTTACCTATACGGGTTTGCTTTCTTGCTATATTACCTATCATTCTATTTACCTGATTTTGAGCATTAGTTTGATATTGCTGAAGATCGCTAATAACTCTTACTTCTACCCCTTCAGCAAGTTGCCTTCGTATAATTTCATTATCATGTTCAGCTTCTGCATTATAGCGCCTCTGTTGCTCTTGAAATACATCCCATTGCAAATTATTCTCTTTTCAGCGTATCTGCCTTGTTGCCCTTTTTATTTGATCTGCTAAGATTTCTCTATCCGTTGTTAGATTATCCAAATAACCATCTATAGCATTTGCTAACTCAGTGATGGTAGCCATTTCTAAGATAATATTAGGATTATACAAGTCTTGAGAATTACCCCGCTCTGGAGAATTTTTTCGTGATGAGATGATTCTGATCTGGCATCGCAATTTCTCAACTTGCTCTTCAGATTCTTCCAAGCGCTTTTCTAAAACAGAAATATGGTTTTCCTTATCTCGTACATCTTTCTTAGCTTGATATAGCCGACTTTTTAAGCTGGAGATTTCAGACTTCAACTCTATTATCTCTTCTTTCGAAGCATTCTCAAGACGTTCTATCTTCCCATTAAGTGTCTGGATTTCTTGTACACAGCGGTCATAATCACGTTCTAGATCCCTAATCTGTTTCTCATTTTGACGATTAGTATCAACTTCTATTTGTATTTCACTACGAAGATGATAGTTTTCCTCCTCCAACTCAGCTTTATGTTCTTCATACGTTCTTCTTTGCCTTGGATAGGGCCTCCGAAATGTCATTATTTTTTTTCGTGATTATAAAAGACAATGGGAGAACCGGTTATTTATATCGATCCTCAAAAAGCTTGAGATTTAGATCAACTTATGGCAAAATAAAAGCCTACGATTTTTATTGATCCCCAGAAAGCTCATGATCTAGACTGGCATCTTGCCTTACAGAAGCTGTATTATCGTCTTGAGGGTCTTTACAAAAATATTAAGAGATTGTGGGATGCTTGTAAAAAAGCCAGCTACAGCCTTACTGATGTAAAAAAATGACTTGAGGGCCAAGCAATGTATCAAATTTTTCGTCCTTCACCAAAGCATATTCCTTATGCCAGTTACTCTAAAATCAC